AATCAGTTCGGTTTGATCTTTAAAACAAGTAGGGAACAAGTTGTCATCTGACTCCTGGTTCTGCTGTAGCACGTCGACTTTCTCCAATTCAATCTCCAATTCACTTTCATGAATCATTCGGCATGTTGGGAAGTCTTAACTCTCACTTGTCCTACCTTAAATATTATTTTTCAATTAAAATTTGTATAACTTTAATATTAATAAATTCAACTGACCAATATCATCTACGAGTAGTCATCTAAACATAGTAATCTGGTTCCAACATTTTAGAGCTCTTCTTCAACCTCCACTTCGCTGTTTCTCTCCACTTCGCTGTTCTTCTAATTTCTCAAATACATTCCGTCCTTCAGGTTGCTCTGGTTCTGTTTTATCTACAGGTTCAGTTGATTCATCTTCAGGGTCAGGCAATCAGATTCCTGTATATTATTAGGAAGGATGAGTATAAAATCTCGACTAGAACCTCCTCCTTGTATTCCGGATTCTCCTTGGTTAGCCGGGATAATAATTTCCCCCTTAAGTTGATCTGACGACCTTACTGTTGACCAGAACAGCAGACGATCCATCGTTTAAATCTCCGAGATATAGTCTTCCGTCTAATAGAGGAGACAGTGTTGTATCTCTGGCTCTGAGCGGAGGACAGGAGTATAAAAGACAAGGTTAAACCTCTGTTGAATCTCCGGAGCAAGCTCCTCCATCATTCCCCTTCCTGGACACTACTCTATACCTCTTTCTTTCTCCTCCTTCTCCACAACTGATACTGCAGAGAGACCAACTGGACCACTCGCTCCACTCGCATGTATCCGTAGATGATCCTGGGAATTCCTTATCCTGGCAACCCTGGTACATTACTTCAGTTTCACCAGAACATTTTCCAACCCCTGCCATCAAACCCTTCCAGCTCCACAGGTTGTGGAACAGTGCGCCCAGGAACTCCAGGTCCCCTAGGAACAGAAATCATCAGGGAACAGGGAACAGTAATCCAAGTCTCCTCTTGTTTAAAAACAGACAAGATCTCTCACTCAGATGATCAAAAAATCCTAAATAATTAATTTATATTAAAATAACAAACATACTTATAGTTTTCATCCTAAAAAATTGGGTTTTGGCTTATATTGTTTAATTATAAATTAAAATATAGTAAATGGAATAAATTTAAATGAAGTGGATCAATGAAATTAGGGATTTAATATTTTACAAATGTGGGTTTCGTGTCATGATTATATGTTTCTGCTATAGGAAGTATTACATTTTAATATATTAAGAAAATGAACTGATCACTTATTACTTAATAGATAATAAATAATGTTTTGACTTCCCCTTTTTAAACAAATGCATATTTTTAAAGGACCAACACAGCCGACCCAAAAGAAACCTTTGCAGCAAAGTTAAAAAAATAGTATAAGGGAAAGGCTTATATTTAATTTAAAATGTTTAAACCCCACATTTTTGATTAAAGCAAAAGTACTAGGAAAAAGGATTTAAACAGATTACAAATCCCACCTTTTACGATAGAAAAGTTTTAAAATATTTAAATCTTTACTATATTTATAATAACTCAACAAATATAATACAAATAAAATATCTTTTGACAAATATCAAAATAATACTTATGAAACTAAGTAACAAAAATATTATAAGATTTATGGTTATAGCAATATGAGTGATGAATAATTAAGATCTAAAAATATATCAAAATTTTATAGTAAGATATATTGGCGACAATTAATATATAAATGTGTAAAGTATTATAGAGTTTTGAATTTAATAAATCTATAAATTACATAATAATATTAAACCAGACCCCCACCCCCTTTTTTTTGAGATGTTATGTTTCGGTATTTGTTGGCAATAAGTATACGTAATAATATAATTTTTAACTCACTCTTTGTACTGAGACATTCAAGGTTATACTAAAAAGTGAAAGTTTTGCAAACCTGCTAACTAAGTATGGGGGTGTGTCCCTTTTTGAAGATTAAATTTTTTAAGTTTCTTTTTAAACATGATAAACAATATTATTTCAATATAAAATTTGTAAATTATAAAATGTAATATTAAAACAAAATCACTTATACACAATATATAGTAATATATTATTTCATGTTCTGACAGGAGATTCGCAAGTTGTTGTCTGAAGGTTGAACAGTAAACAGAACAGTATAAAAGGACCGGAAATGCCATTTTCGCAAGAACTAATAGTGTTCTTTGCCATTTCACAGGCTAAGAACAGTAAAGATGCCTTAAATGAAGGGGACTTTCTATTAAATAAAGCAAAGACCAGTCCCAATAATGAAATCCTGATGGTTAAGAATCAAGAAATCATTCGTGCTGTTGATGTTTTATGCTTGAATGAGGGTGAATGGTTGACCATGAATATGGTTGAAATACTCTTAAAAGAGATGGGGGCCAGAACCAAGTATATCGAACCAGTTTGTTTAGGTTTCGATATTAGTTAAAATCTTCAAACAAAAAGTAGACGAAATGAACCTGTAGAATTCACTGATAAGATAAAGAAAGTAATTCTGAATGCATCATCTTCAAGACTGATTCTCTTTCCTTTCATGAGCAAACGTCATTTTAGATTGATTTCTGTAGATAGGCTTGAAGGAAGAGTAAGTTTGTATGACTCTGGAAGTGAAAAATATTCTAGTTCAACATTTTTGGAAGAGAATATAAAAATAGTGAAATTAGTGAGAAGTGCTTTATACAATTTATACAAAAAAGAGTTTAAGGGGGAAATCCCGCACTGTATCCAACAAACTAACGGATACAGTTGCGGGCATCATGTAGTTCAAAGAGCAAAGTTTCTGCTAGACACAAAACAGATGAAGACGGACATTGAAAAGACGGCTGAAGAACTGAATTATTTCAACAATGATGCCATTATAAAACTAAACAATGCACTTCTAAGTATCATTTTGACAAAAACCTCATACCCAGATAATGAATCTAATCATATCTATATAGTAAACAGAACAAACCCGACATCCCACAAATTTGTGCCATTAAGTGAACATCTGTGGAAGGACGTGACGACATTTGGAGAACTGAAAACCATTTTCAGGGCAAACAATTATACCAATAGGCAAATGTGGAAAACGTTAGAAAAGAAATGGAAGACGGTTAGGAATCTCCTACAGGGTACAGAAAACAATTTAAAATTAAAAGGAGACCGCAAAAATAACAAAAGACTAATTCAACTAGTTCGAAAACGTGATAAAACCTTTTTACCTTGAATTGAATTGTGAAGTGCAGTACATCTTAACATCTCTTTTCTGTAATTATAAAAGAAATAAAATCGAGTTGTAGGCATGTCCATACAAAATCTAAAATGTATAATATGAAGTGCAGTACATCTTAAAATCTCTTTTTTGTAATTATAAAATGTTAATAGTTGTAGGCATATCCATATAAAAAGAAAATTAAATTACTATTGTATTCGAATAAATCTGTTCATATTATTCATACTGTATTACAAGGAGAGTAGTAACATTTTTAATTTTATAAATGATAATTGAAGTTTTCAATTCCAGTGGGAAAATTTGTTTCTGGATAAACAAAAACTGTTGATCTATAAATAGGAGGAGGAATAGGTGGATGGGAATGAGTTTCTGTTGGTTTGTCTAAATTACTATTGTATTCGAATAAATCTGTTCATATTATTCATACTGTATTACAAGGAGAGTAGTAACATTTTTAATTTTATAAATGATAATTGATTCAAGATTACTACATAATGAAATAAACAAAAATAAAATTTTTTATAAAACTTGATTCAAAGTAATGTACCCTAAAAAACTGATGTTGTATAAATCCACCTTTTTGGAATCCCAATCAACTTCATATTCTCGTTCATAATTGTCTTCTTTGTCAGTTTGAATATTTGCATCAAACTCTGTATCGTTGAAATTCAATACATTATTACTAATCAGTTGATCTTGGTAATATTCGTCTCCATTGGTATATATTGTTATAGTTTCGCCTTTTTGAGGAGTTTTTGTATCAAACTCTAATGGACTGGGATCAAGTAAATTCCGTTCAGTATAAACCGGGTAAAAGTCCTGATCTTCTTTAGGAGTGTTTGTATCAAACTCTAATGGACTGGGATCGACTAAATTGAGTTCAGTACTAACTGGGTAAAAATCCTGATCTTCTTTAGAATTATTTGTATCAAACTCTAATGGACTGGGATCAAGTAAATTCTGTTCAGTATAAGCTGGGTACTGATCTTCTTTAGAAGTATTTGTATCAAACTCTAATGGACTGGGATCAACTACATTCCGTTCAGTTTCATATAAATAATCATCATAATAATCAGGAATAATCCATCTTGCTTGTATAATTGCATTCACAAAAATTGACAAAAGATATAATAACTTCATTTTTGATATCCACTGTATAAGAGTAAGGTCCGACTAGCACTGATTAAAATAGGTTTCAGATAATTAGGTTTAAGTTTTCATCTGAACGTTTATTATATTGAAAAGTGCTTCTATTAATAACAATTTAGCAGATCCAACCAACTAAGACTAAACAATAGTTTATTTCAACAAAAAAATTTTATTTGTACACGTAGCATAAATTTCATAAATACAAGGTTATGTACTAATATGGAAGAATGTTTTGGGACAAATTATCCATTTAATTAAAAGTATTTGACATATAAGGACAAAAATATTTTAATTATTTAAAAATGTATAAAATTATGCTAAAACTACTATTAGACTAAAACTAAGCTAAAAACTAAACTACATTCCCGATATATAATCACTTATACAGTGTCTTCATGTTCATTTACAAAACGGCAAATACACATGTCAGAGATGGGAAAAGAACGATTATGTCCGTTATGGAAACGGCACCGCCTGAATTCCCTAAAATAAAGTTTCAAGGTACCTATTAAGTGGTCAGATACCCACCCATTTTTCATACCAATTCCCCCCCCCCTCATAATAAAAACATTCCTGATATTTTTTTTTTTGGTGGGGGGGGATTTTTGACGAAATAGCATTGGTTCGGTTTAAAACCATATCTTTAAATAATTGTTAAACAATCTTTTTTATTTTAGTTTAAAGAGTTAAAGAAGAGAAGAATAGAGAAGGATGAAGATGAATACGATGATGATGGAAACCTTATTATATGACTGAAGATCCAACCAAGTTGAACTACAACTTTCTGATGGAGCTGGCCAAGGATGATAAAGTTGAGAGATGCTTCACACAGAATGGGAAAATCAAGTTCTCTTTGAAAGACGACCCCGATAAGAAGCTTCACACTGATACCATTGGCTGATTTCCTGGTCTACAGAGAGCAATCATACCCTTAATCATATCTTGGGGTAAGCTAACATTACCTGTTTAAAAGGAATATTTTGAAGATCCCCCCCCCCCCTCCAAGCTGAAGGGTTGGGGAAATCATTTTCAGTCTGCAAAGGGGGGGAAATTAGACTTTATCTTTCATAATATTGATCCGGTATCGGTTTCAAGGTACCTTTTAAGTGGTCAGATACCCACCCATTTTTCATACCAATTCCCCCCCCCCTCATAATAAAAACATTCCTGATATTTTTTTTTTTGGGGGGGGGATTTTTGACGAAATAGCATTGGTTTGGTTTAAAACCATATCTTTAAATAATTGTTAAACAATCTTTTTTATTTTAGTTTAAAGAGTTAGAGAAGAGAAGAATAGAGAAGGATGAAGATGAATACGATGACGATGGAAACCTTATTATATGAATGAAGATCTAACCAAGTTGAACTACAAACGTCTGATGGAGCTGGCCAAGGATGATAGAGAGCTTCACACAGAATGGGAAAATCAAGTTCTCTTTGAAAGACGACCCCGATAAGCATTTTGAATAAAGGGTATCATGAAGTTATAATGACAGTTCCTTTAAATACTAGATGCCCTTAATACCAGTGAATTGTCTACCTTGGGATCTAGTGTTTACAGAGGGAAATCCAGGGTTCTCCTCCGTGTTATCATCATCTGCATCAACAATAATGACTATATCGTCGGCTAGGAGGAGAAGGGGGCCACGGAGTTGGACATTCTTGAACTTTTCAGCACCAACTCAATCTGTAAAGTTTTTAAAATTCAATCTATATATTTAAACTTGTCTGTCTGTCTGTCTATCTGTTTGTCTGTTTGTTTGTATCCAATAAACGTCAAAACGGCTGAACCGATCAGGCCAAATTTTTGTGTGGGACCTCAAGTGGTCCCAGGGAAGGTTTCTGGCCAATGTAATCTTAAAATATTTTTATCTTAAATTAATTTTGTAAAATTTAAAATATGAGCAAAAAAATAATATGAAATCTGCAAATAAAATTTAAAAAAATTTATACAGAACAAAGAGAAGATGCTCAAAGATAAAGCCACAATTAATAGTTGAAAAACATTTAAATACTTAATCAATTAAATTAATTAAATAATTGATTCTTATTAATTTATTAAAATTCATGTTAAATAGTAACCCTGTACCTGAGAAGCTGTACTGTTTACAAGTTTTCGCTGAGATTTCGAGGCAAAAAATGTTCCCAATTTGATATATGTTATTGTTAACGATAAATTTAGAATTAGAAATTTGTAAGAAACTATAGACTTAAGTTATAATATTGTTCATATCTAGTAATGTTCCTTAATCAATACTCATTTATCAAAATTGTAATATTGTTCCTAATTTTCATGCATTTAAGTATACATATTTTGTCCACCAGATGAATGTACTCTATAGACGTAAACAGTAGAAATACCCGACTTTTGAAAGTACAACTTGCAAGAAACTTTGATTAAGAGAGAGAGAAATGCAGCCAAATTTTGGTTTGTGTGATGTGTCATGAACTTAAATTATAGTTTTTACTGTCGATAAATGTAAATTTAAAGGTTTTACTGTTAAACTTTGAAAAAAAGCCACTTTTAAGCCACATAAGCCACTTCTGCCACAGCCTTGAAAAAAAGCCATTTTAAGGAAATGTGGCTGGTAAAAAAGCCATCTGGCAGCCCTGACCGGGTTCTTGTTTGAGCCAAACACCATTTGTAAAACAAAAGGCTTTGCTCAGATTTACATTTACGTAATTTATGTTACGGAGTTCAAACGGATCGTTTTATCGAGACTTGGAGGAACCTCTCTAGCTCATATCCTGACTTGAACTGCCTGTCGGTTTTTCTTGCAGGATTGAGGTTGCCTGTTTTGTTCAAGGTCTGGTTCTTTGTAAAGCCAGGGAGCCAGTGCAGGGGTTTCATAAAAATACATAATTTAATTAATTAATCATATAATTACAATTTGTTATTTTAATAAACGAAATTGAATTGGTGCAGTTTTTTATATCTTTTAGTTTTTGTGAAAAATATATTAAAGTTTATGTTTTTTGTATTTGAAGTTTGTTTGATCCGGAAATATCTGGTTTTTTTACGTGGATGTAGGGTTCTTTGTCTGCTGAAAGGTAGGGCTAAGTATTTTGTTTGAAGGTTAAGCGTGGAGCTTTAGAATTCATACTTTATGAGAACCCACGCTTTAGATTTATGTAACAATACACAATACACATACAGGGTGTCCCACGAAACATGACAGTTGGTGAATAGTTTAGAATGTCTTCTTCCATAATTTGTTAAGTTCTTTGATGTCAAAGACAATGATAAAGATATTATATGGGAGGATCATGTTATACTAAAATCTGCATTACTCCAAATGTTTACTTGTCATACAATGCTGTCAAGTTCATCTTAAATATATTAGATGAGACTTGGTTGTATGTTTGTAGGACATTCTTCAACTCTTCTCTGTGAACTTTTTATTTACATAGATATTTAATTGACAATTTTTCATAGATATTTAATATATTTACATAGATATTTACTTTATATAGGATATTTTACATTAATTTACCATACTATCCTCTTCCCTAAATCTGTCAATGAGAAATCAAACAGAGGCATTTGCTGGGAGACAATGCTTGAATGCATTATTATATCCCTCACAGAATTTGTTTGTTGATGGCAAATCCATTAAGACTGAATCATGTTTGATCCACAGTCCATAATTAAACATTGGTTTCCCATGGGACTTGGTTCTTGAGTTCACCTCTCCCATCCAGGTACGATTAAAGTATAGCAAAAATTATATTATTTCTTTCAAGTACTCTGCCCAATTGTTGTTGTTTTTCAAGTTTTCCTTAATAACATGTTGCATCCGGGTTTGGTAGGTTTTAACAAGATCATCTAATGGCATAAAGGACAGAACCCATAGAGTACGAACCAGTTTGTGGAACTCTTCATCAGAGTTGTGTAAAGGAAGAAGTGTGTTGTCTGAACATGGAATTACTTAGTACTTGGGGTCAAAGGGTTCAAATTTTTTTTTTATAATTTTCCAAGATTTTAAATCTTTAAACTTTTAAATTTTGAATCAAGTCTTTAAATTATACAATCTTCACATTGTTTTATAAAAGCATGTAAAGGTCTCACCATTAACTATTTAAAATATGATTGGCATCTGGTTGCTTTAATATGGGAGGGGGGTCGCCATATCTATCAGATAGTTGAGGAACAGGGTGAACAAATTAGTTCGCTAAGTGCAAAAATGTCTGAAATTTGCACCCTGAGCTCACAACTGTCTGAAATGATGTCAGCTATGTCAGGACGGAAAGGTGAAGTAAACACTCTGGGTGCTACTTCAGTATTCCCTCCAGACATTGATGACATCAACAGAGAAGGCAATGATGCTGTGTATCTTGTATTAGATCCTTGATGTCCTCCCTCCCTGAGTTCCAGCAGAAGAGTGCATCTCTCCACTTCAAAATCCACCATTCATATTGATAACTAGGTTCTTTTATCAGAATTGAGGATATTCATTTTAGGGTTTCATTCTTCTTTATTTTAGTTTCTCTAATTCCCAATTCTCAGTTCTTAACTTCTCAGAAATGTGGAGTAAAGTAGCTGTAGATCTACGGGAACTGCAGAATTATTATAAGTACCCCCCCGCCCTGAACTGAACTTGATAATTGTTCGGAAGACTTCCCCCCTTTGCTCTCCCTTTTCTGGAATAATGTTTGGGTTGTGAGCACGGGTCATTGTAGATCAGCGGATACAGGGGATAGAGGGGGAGTTCTGTCCAGCTCACATTGTAAAATTGGCCAGACCCGAACGGCAACATTTTTACGAGAATCTGCAGTGTTGGTTGCAGCACACATTTTATTGAAGATCTGGAAAAAAAGTTTAATACTAACTTCAGGGTATTTATTGTTAAAAATATGTCGAGCATCTTAATAATTTTAATCAAAATTTTAGAACATAAAAATAATCTTGAAATTGATAATAATAATTAATAAGTTTAAATTTTTAAGGATACTTTTTTCAACTATAAACTAAGAATTATTAGTTTCCCTAAATCCACAGTTCAAATATGTAAAAAATCAAACAATATCTATCAAGTGGAATCAAAGAAAACGTTTTAATTAGTTTTTCTTTCATTATTCAATATTCAATGCAACGCCAATGAGCACATGTGTTGCTAAGTGAATCATACACAACGTATGAAATATATAAAAACACATAGGATGCTTCAATGTTTTGTGCAATTTTTACATCCAGGGGGGTGTATAAGCAATGTATGGATCTTTTTTGTGAGAAGTCCATGGGCTCTAATGTTCACTCTTAGACACTTTTTTCAATGAAAATAACAACCTGTGATTTTTACATCTTCAAATGTATTCTCAAATGCAGATATCAGTCCCTTTTCAAAGTCCATTGTGATGGAATTCAACTTTATAACATCCAGAACCTAAAACTAAAGAATGCGCGAATTTTAAGTTCGAGGTTAAAAGTTCTAGGAGAGACCGGAAAATTTACCTGTACACCAAAAGAGTTTCTAAAACAACGATCATGAAATTTCTGCTCAACCTGAAACTCAGTGTCAAGCTAAGTTTTGAACATAAGCATGGTTAGCTCATTTCGTCCTCTACTGAAACTTTTCGTTATTACTTACATTACAAGATATTAAAGTGTCAGTATAGTTCTTATCCAAAAATGACTTGAATTAAATTATGTAAAAGAGGAAATCCGCTCACCTTGATGCAGCGTCTTCAGCTGGATCCTTGGATGATGAAAACTATAACATAGCTTTAGATTTTGTTTATATCCCAGATAGTGATGAAGAAAAGCAAATGAAGAAAGCTATCGCATTGAGTTTGGGGGAAACTATCGTATTGGCCAACGACGAGTTTGATAGAATGTGCGACAAGATATAAATAATTGTAATGTAGTTGGGTTCGTAAGAGAATATCGTTGAGCTTGTGAACTGACGGTGATCTAACCACCGGAGAGAAAATCTTTTCTCATCTTAATTTATTTAAGGTAAGATATTTAATCATGTTTAATTGATATAGAAATTTATTTTAAATCTTGTACAGTGTTTTAATTATCATTATTTCCTCCATTGTTTTTGACGCAAGAAATCTCCAAGTCACCTCTCAATATAAATGTTATTTGCCCGTACTTATACCACATTTTTCTCTAAATGTATACCTCTCCCAGCCACTTTATTGATCAAATTAAGGTGTTAAGGATACTGCTTGGAATCTGGAGTCGATTATATAAACGTTGAATACTTCAAAATGTCCGACTGCTACAAAATGTTGACAGTTACAGAATCTTGAATTTACCAAATGTTTTTACTTCAAAACATTTGACTTCTATATGTTTAATGTTGATGTTTTGAAGCAGACATTTTACATCATCAATGTATTGTTATTCAACGTTACGTACCCACTCCGTGAATCATGCATTGCTTATATTGCATGCAGAGTTACTTGAAGGCAGGTTTACAGTATAATTAGTTAGTGAAATCGTTCAATTATTTTTGTTAGGATTTTTTTTTGTACTGCAGGGTCTTTAAATATTTCTGCATGAGCATCAGAAAATTGTAAAATGATTGGAGACTTGAATAAAGTTGTAATAGATTCATTTATTCAATTCATTGTGAGAAATTCATATCTTCACAGTTTTTAAAATATTGTAGGCATAAGTAATAAGAATATGAAGGAAACTTGGATCAAATCAAATGCTGCAACGGTCTAAATAAATTATTGATAAGAACTGACGGATAAAAGTTAGGGTTTTCCTGATGGATAAAAGCTAAGGTTTTTCTGATGTATAAAATCTAGGTTATTATTTTTCTGTATCAAGTTTATTGTGTTAATACCTTACTGCTGAACCTATTTGAAGCTTTTTGAAAAATAACCCATTTTTTAGCTTTTGAAAGTTTAGGACAGCTGTCTCTTAACTGATTTGATGTAAAATCTACCCTCTCAGAGCTTCGCGTGACATGTGAAAAATAATTTACTTGTAGATTATTGCAGTTAAATACACTTTGATTGACCCGTAAAAGTTAACCAGTGTGTTACACCTAGATCTGTGCAGCATGGCATGCATATACAGGGTCCCGCACATAGTATGAAACTGTAAAGATAAGGAGCTCCTAATATGTGGAAATCCTAAATCTAGATTAAATCTTCTGCCCGGTACTGTCTTCTTTTTTTGAAAACCGGAAATGAACTCAAAAATGAGGAAACTGCCCCCAAAAAAGAGGAAACCAA